TATAGGTAAAGGTAGATTTCAAACCGAAGCGGACTGGCCTAAGAGGCAAGGGGACGATTGGTCTCCTAAACTTTTGCCAAGAGGGGCTCAAAAGAGCCAATTTTGACACGTTCGGCCATAATTGAGGGGCCCCTTTTGGCCAATTGTCCAAGATCCCACCGGAGTATCTTTGAGCCCGCTTAAATTTTGGGACAAATTTTTCAAATTTAATTCATTTTCAACATTTTAGAGATTCTGCGGGCTGTGCCTTTCACAGACCTGCCCTCTTGGTGGACCAATTAAAAACTTGAATTACTGTGACTAAACACCAAATAAATTGAAAAAAAAGAAAAATAATAATAATTAAAAAATAAAATTTCATCGTATGATAAATCCTGGAGACTCTAATCTTGAAAATTTTAACGAAGACGGATTGACTATCATTTTCATTTATTTTCTCACGGGCGTCAGACACTAAGAGGTAGTATCAACATGCACAATGTTTTTGACATTCAAACATTTTACCTCCGGTGTGAGTGGGCGGAGTATCACGCGAATCTGAAGGCGCTTTTGATCGATGAAGACCGTCTGTCGTAGTTGTGGCTCATGACTTATTGTAGCATTGCACTACTAGATTTAATTTTTTTATAAATCATATATGTCTAATCATATATTCGATCAATTTTTTTTTATTAACTTTGCTCTTGTTACTTAACGCGTTGCTACGCGTGAATTACTTGCCATAAGTGTTTAAAAGATCCTACGAGTTGAATCTATAGACGCGCGCATTGGTTTAATACAAATATTTTAACGCCGGTGTGGGAGGGGAAGTATCATACGAAACTGAAGGCGTTTTCGATTGGCCATAACAATTTGTCGTGGCTCATGTCGACGCGCACCACGTAGATCAAATAAACCCCCATCTTCCCCTAAGATGCGAAACTTCTGCACATTACAAAACAGATTCCATTAAGGTGTCTCCGAATAAATGCGAAACAATACTTCATGCGAATTTTCGATAAGTGATTGCAAGATCCAATTAGAGCTAGCCTCAAGATGCACAATGATTTTTGATACATTTATTTAAACACTGTTTTTTTCTGGTCATTTTGGGGAATTAAGTATTAAAACAATAAATAAATAAAAAAGTGGAAAAAAAGTGTCAAAATTTCAAGGGACATCTAAATCTTCTTGATATTCCCCGAAAAAGGAAAGTGAGGAAAAGAGAGAAAGAGAGAGAAAAAAATAATGGATTTACTAGATAACATTCCAAGTAAATTTTTCGCTCTCATTGCATTCTTCGTATACCGATGAATTCCTTTATAACGTATTCAAGTAGGTCAGATTGCGGGCCTACTTATGTCCACTAAATATTCATAGGTAAAGTTCTGTTCTGACACATTATGTGTCCCGCAATATTTGGTCAAGATAAATTATTATCAGGACATCATTCTTAAACTTTAATTACCTTGTTATTGTGCTAGTTTTAATAGATTGAAATACCCAAGTAACGTTCCCTCCTTTCCGAATGTACTTACTTCAAGAATCTAATCGCGCACAGCTCTCAACTAAGGTTTGTTATCACTTATCAGTGTATTTGGATTGTAGTGTTTTATCAACAGAGTGATAATGCACAAACAGTGATTAGACGGCATGATGTTTCTCGCCTACACAGAGAATGTTTACGCGCTGTCGCGTTGATTTGATTTGTCATTTTCATTTCGTGAGGAAATTGCGCAAGAAATCAAAATAGAATGGAATCTGTGTAGTTCAGTTGGCGAGCGCACTGAGCAAGGCCTGCCGTAAAAAACGTACATCGCGGGCAAAATACATACGTGATAAGGGAATCTGGACGATGAAACGGGAAACGATGAGGGGAATATGGAAGTGGAACGCTCCTTTGTGATGTTCCGTCAGTTCGGAAATATTTTCAATGGAGGCAGGAGGAGCTGTGATACTTTAGCCGTTTTATCTCTTTTTTTATTTATTAGCTGTCGTTATTTACTAGTGATTTAAATGGAAGTGTTTGTCCCGAAGTCATATTTTTATACTTTAATTCTATTCGCAGGTAGTCACTATGACAACTAATCCATTCGGTCTCAAATCGAAGTTGTTTCAAATCTGTCGTCTTTGTTTATCAGAAGAGGATGTAAAATGGTCTTTATTCGACGATGATGGACTAAAACGCAATTTTCCCTGCAAGATTCTGTCGTGTCTCTGCATTCCGGTAAGTAACTATTTATCTTCTCAATTTACTCAGCTTTCTAATGCACAAATTTTATCGCTTGAATATTGAGAAATTCGGAGAGAAGATACTGATAAAGTGATAAGGTTAACACCTAGTGATTGTGGCCTTGGCAGAGTGAGTACCGCCATCACAGCCTCCTCTCTCTTCTGATAAACCTTTGTTCTCGACTGGAATCTTACGGTTTATAATGTACGGCTTTCTGTTTCTCATTCTCTCTAATCCCAATTTTTTCGTGTTAATTTTACTATATCCTGCATTAATGTTTTGTTTTATGTGCTCTTTACCGAAATTTCCCTCGCTTTTTCGTCTTTTTTGTGATATCAGGGCATGCTGTCTCACCATGCGGCATGGCCGTTATCTCTTCCTTCTTCCGTATTTACAAGAACGTTCGCCAATCACTCTGTGTCTGATTTTATTAAAAATCCTCTTTACACCTCCAATTTTTCAAAACAGATACCCGTTTTGATCATTTCTCCCATATTCTCACTCTCGCGGATCCATTGTTTTGGTCTCCCACCTCTTCCTGTTATCTTCATCTTGCCCAACATTCCTTTATCATACAGGTTGACTTCCTATTTTGCTCCACTCCGATATTACACTCGTTACCTTGCAATTGAAGCAATCACTACTATTAAATGTAACCATTTGCCTGCAAACAACATTTATTTAGTAGGATTTATTCTTAAAATTGGGCCGAAAACCTGTTGGAGAAGTTTATCTATCACTGAAGCCTGTAGCATGACTTATCAGCTTCTGTCATCAGAGCTGGATTGAGTAAAGGCCATTGATGAATCTTAAAGTTTTCATCCTCTCTGTTGGCCAACAAATGATGAACAATTTTTTTTTTGTCATGGGAATACATAGTCTGTCTGTTATCCTTGCTTTATTGAAGTAATTTTCATCAACATTTGCACTCAGATGTAGTGGTTAGTGAGCCTCTAACGATCAACGCTCGCTTACTCACTCTCATGTGGACCATATGCTGACTTTTTTCTTCATTGCTCTAAAACCCTTGTAGTTTCAATCCTCTGCATGTGGCATTAATTTAAATGTGATTTGTGTTTTAGGTTTCCCAGTTTGATCCTCTACCCACATATATTTGTGAAAAATGTGCACGCAAATTGGACGAATTCTATGACTTCAAGCAAGCCTCTAGAAAGTCTGATGAATACCTGAAAAGCAATTTGCATTCATTTTCTCAGGTGATTAATTCTATTTCAATAATGCCTATTCATACTTAGTTCTTCACCCACCAAGCAGGGAGAGGATTTTTTTCCTTTCACGCAGGTAGTTATTTACATACTTGGTTTCTTCCCTATCCTCTTGACATTTAAAAGCTAATGTAATTTTCATTACCGTCTTGGTCTCACTTGTACATTTCTTTTTTATCTTTCCTTTGACTGAATTGAATCATGTCTAATTCTAAACGTTTGGGCTCTGAATATTCAATCAATCGTGTGCAAAATTTTCCTTGCCAAGCCTCTCTGCAGTGCATCAACATGATACGATAGTTTCTCTAGTACATTTTGATGGACTGATATTCATTTAAGTTTTATCCTTCTGTGTTGTGTCAGAAATAATTTGTTTTCACTGTTTTGTAAAGAAGTTATCACTGAATTTGGCAAATAGCAATACCGCCACTGAATACATCAGACTATCTCATCGTAAGGCGAATCTTAGCGTCAACTTCAGTAGTAGTTGACTGAAAGTAACTTTTACTCTATAGGGAAGATAGCAGTATGGGGTTTCTTCATTTAGTCACTGATTTTGTCACTGATCAGTCACTGATGTTGATGGTGTTTACGTGGCACTTCTAAAGTGCCAGATAAACACCTTAGTCAAAGTTATCATTTCGTCCTATTGGTAGTTTTTGTTTATTTCCATGGCAAATTTGTGCAAAGAACGGTTTTGCAAGAAGTAATATGTGCACAGAATGTCAATAGTCTATTCTCTGATTTGTATCTCTCATTCCCTTGCATATTTACAGACAAGATATGGTAACTGATCCATGTGGATGAGAGCGCTAGGCAGTCACCTGTCTGGTGTGCTCTTGTAAGGCATTAAGTCAGAGTGGGTACAGTCTGTGATGTCGTAAATGTGTTGCCTGCCCTTTGCGATGCTGTAATTCGTGCGAGGAATCCAATTTTCAATGCAATTATTTCACTATAGTCTGTTTCACGTAAGCTGATGAAATTTTAGTTCATTTTCATCAAAATTTTCCGCTGGACCTGAATTTTCACGCTAAAAGTTTAATTTTTCAACGAGAAAGAAAATTGGGTCCGGGTACTAGGGCTCATTAAGGAGGGATGAAGGGTGCCCATTGTTCCTACCCTCACAATGGACGGGTTGCCGGCCTCTCGTCGCTGAACAAAAGAGGGTGGTCGGCGAGCGGTCAGGTCACCGCGTTCGGAACTGACGCGTTGCCATTAACGGTTTTTAATGCCGAATAAAAAGTCTCAGCTTAGGTGAAACAAACTATAATCATTTTTTCACTATCTAATTTCTGAATTAGTACATTAATTTTTGGATGCTAGCTTGATACTTACTTGTTCAAAATTATTTCCATCACTCATGATCGAAAAAAAAACTCAAACTGTTTTCCTTTGAAGGTCCCCTAGGTGTGGAAAGACTCATCCTAATTTTTCTAAGTCTCTTTTCTTTCAGTTTGATTGAACAAAATTATTGGATAATTTAGAAATCAATTTAAGTAGTCGGGGAGTATTGATCGCTTGGGCTCCAAAAATAAGGTTATCATCTAACAAATGTCATCAAGGGAAACAGAAGAGTGAAATTAGTGTCACTGATTGTCAGGAATGACTCTTACATTGAAAGGAGGGACTTTTCAAAATATCACTCTTAATCTATGAAGCCCCATACCCTAATGATAGTCTTTATTTTGATGTAAATGCCTATTATATATTCTTAGATTCAATGACCATAGCCTAAGAATTGGAGCTTATTTTAGCTAATAGTATGTTCTCTATTTCGTTCCACACGTAGCAAACTTAAGATATTTTTTAACATGGTGTCATGTGTAAGTAATGTGTCCCTAGTTAAAATTATGTGACCCAAAGTTCAAAATATTTGTATCAGGGGCTGATCACTGTTAAACATGCCAAGAAGTGGCCAATGCTTTCAAATGTTATTTTCATTCAACCACTCCACGTAACATCTTATCTACACTCTCCCTCCACTGTTATAAGTGTACAATTGTTCTGAAAAATTTGTTAACACTATAATTATGTGGATTTTTTGCTCTAAAATACCTCTGTGGTTGACCTCACAGAAGAGAGGGTTGGGGACATGCGCACTCAGTCTGAGTACTGGCATACAGTAAAAATTTTCTAAGTAATTGAGAGTTGCAGAGTCCCTCTCTACCCCACAGTTGCCTCGCTTCAAGGAGCCCAATGTATGCGTAACTTTTCCCCTCTGTTCTCGTAACTTGGTAAAACTAGCATCAGATAAGTTGGTAGTTTTTTCCTTTAGAATGTCATGCGCAGGAAACAAATCTATGTTTTTTGTGCATGGCGGCAGCATTGCCCGCAGTCAATCCTCAATGGCTATTAGGCGACTTTGACAAGGTTGCTTTCAAATCAACAAAATGTAAACAACTGGCAATTTATTGGTTGTGAGTTCTGTCAGCATCATCACAAAATGACACTCAATATGCGAGTTCAGCAGTAGGAGTTCTCTGTCAGGCAGCTTATTCTACTATTTTTATATTATGCCAGCATTCCAGCCTAAGCTAGCAATGGTTCTCTTTTATATATTTGAGGTCCCAAACTGCAGTTTTGAGTTTCTGCAAGCAGAAAATCTCCAAAATCTTTTTAGGGACCTGTATCTGTTTTATTCTCAATATTGGCTCTCATCCCCTTTTTTCTGCAAAATTTTTGTGATTTTAAAGAGCAGAAAAAGAGTAAGGATTAAATACACATCTTAACCTAACTGTAATATTTAAAAACCTCTTTCATATTTTGCTTTCAGAATAGATACGTAATTAGCATTATTAATTCCAAGGCTCACCTATTTTTCTTCATATTATAAAAACCATCCTATTAAATTTTTCAAAAGTTTAAGAAAGTAAAAAAAACCATGAGTCCTGAATGCAGCATGTCCTCAGCCATCTCATTTTTCTTGTTGACCTTCCCATCTCTGGGTGTTAGTGACCGAAATAACTGGAAAGTCAGGTAGATGATGATGATTAGAGAGTAGTCGATCAGAAAAAATGTGTAATCCGAAGAACAACCTCCCGCACAATATTGTGATTTTTTACTTTACTTCACAGTGCTTTAATACGTAGCCCTCCAGAAGTGTCTCCCCTTCTGTTGGAAATTTTTCCTTGAGGATTCAAGCTCCTACCGATCTGTGCCTGTAATTTACACCGAACCATGCTTATATTTCCATTGCTTTTAATTTCGGAAGAAAAGGTCAAGGTGAAATAGGGGAAGTTAGGGAGACAGAAAATTCAAAGGTCAGGGAAAATGTGGAAAGTTAAGGAGTAGGTAAAGGAAATATTAATAGATGCTTGCACTTTGACAACACACATTTTCCCAACGTTTCTCAATTTTGCCGGTGTGCACTTATTATTCTATTCAGAAAAAGTTCAAATTGCTAACCTTTTCTTCACCCAACTAAATCTTTGTCTAACCTCTCTTTATTTTAATTTTTATCTTCTCTTTTACTTTATCTTTCTCAACTTAATCTAATATCAGCATTTCATATTTTTCTCAATATTAATGTAATTATCAACTCTCCATGTTTCTTAATTTGAGAGAAATCTTGTATGGATACACCTATTTGGGTTTTTTCAATGATTTAATAACAATGTTTCTAACTTTTCTTCTGTTCTTACTGTTCACAGGAAATTTGTATGAGCAATAGACTGAAAGGCAAGGTGAAGCAAGATAATGATCAGCTAATTGCCCAAGATATGTCGTTACATAAATCGGACAATAAATCAAGATCCCAGTTGATCAGTGGTTCTTTCCAATCAGAAAATTTAAGGTGTAATAATTTTAAATCAGAACCAAAGTGTAATCAAAACGATAGATATTACAATTTACTTACCAGTATTAATGGTATAAGTGCCCCCTCAAAATCCACATCCTCTTTTACTGACACTGACGAGAAAATTCAATCAAGGAATGTCATGAACTCCCCATCCCAACCCAGTTCAAACGGACGCAATCCCAATACATTGCACAACCGTTCAGAGAAAGAACTTATCGCCAGTGATTCAATTTTAAATTTAAACACGGAAGCTCGAGAAAACTCTCCTGAGGCGGAAGTGAAAAAGGCGTCTACTGGTGTTTCTGGAAATGCTGTGATGTATGCCAATGGATATTTCAGTGAGGTCCCTGATGATGACTCAAACAACAACAGTGGAGTTTTAAACCTGGAGATGAAGTCGAAAAAGCAGCGTGTTGAGAGTGAAACGCGACCCACTCAGTTGAAACCAGATAGTGTTGAAGACTCGGAAGATGATTCCAAGAGAGGGAGCTCTCGGCTTTCCAGGGAGGATCCTTCGGACAACGAGAATAAAAGTCATGCTGACTTTGAGGATGATAACAATGAAGATGCTGATGTCAGTAGTGATATAACTGAAAGGTAATCATTGAACCAGTCATTTTTTGTCGGAGTGAAAACATAATGTCCAAGGAATTTCCTAACAAACAAGTGTTCTAAATGAACAAAGATGAACCTTTCTTCTTGCAATTTCCTTCTTTCTATTTCCAGTATGTACTGTAATTGAATCAATACTACTTTGTCCATAATAGTTCTTTAAAAAAAAATGTTCATCATGACATCATGAGCTCCGTCCCGCATTTCGCAGTCTACATTCTGCACACTGTCTCCGGTGTCAAGTGGCTGTTGCATATTCGCTACAAGTTATTAGTTCGCCCTGATCTTGCTAGCTCCTGGCTGACTCTTTTTTCTTTGCTTAGATGTAACTATTAAGGCGACTTTGCGGCGCCAGACAGCAAACGCCCCAGACTTTGAGTTGTGTGCATGTGAACCACAGTTGCACCTAGACAGACTTACAATTTTTCATATCTCTGCCGCTTTTGCGAATTTTTCATTCAGGACAGAGCTATTTTGCTTCTGATACCTTCCCGCTTCAATTTTTAATACTATTTCATTTTCGATTTTAGGGTTGCTGTCCCCTCTAAGTTTTGTGAACTCACCTAAACGCCAAAAAACCGTTTATTCGACTTTATATTTTAATTAAGCGTTTCTAACTTTTTTTGGTCCTCTTTCAGAAGTCCCACAAGTATGCTGAGGAGAACATTATTACTGAACCATCAGGATGAATCTCGGTCACCTCTAACAATAATGAATGGAGAAGTTGTGGTAAGATCTGAAATTTCAGTAATACTTCTCTTTGTCTTCTACCTGATGGATGTTGTAAACTTAACAAACTTCAGCTTGCTAGAATGATCGTCTGCATTGACTCATGTCGATGGCCTAAATGCAAAACGATGTATCTCCGGTTGAGTTGTTGCAGACTTCCTGTCATACTTCTTTTTTTCTCTGGGAAACTAGAAAATTTAATTCTTTGAAAATTTACTTGAGTTTTCCTGTATGTGAGCAAAATATTCCTTATTAATTTCAAGCTCATAAAGTTGGTTTGTTTCTCAACTTCAAAAAAATAAAATACGCGAGGAAATTTTGAAACACCCGATAGGGATAAGTGGTTTTGCTCTTTAGCCATCAATATTGTAAGGATTAATTTGTTTATTCCTCTGTCAATTAGATTAATTCTGCCTATTTCACATACCCACCCTCCTTGATTAATAGTTGATAAGCCTACAGTTTTTGCCTTCATTATCATTTACTCGAGCAACTCAATGTTATTTAGCTACATTTGATCATAGGCAAGAGCTTGAGTGAGCACTGGAGAGAGATCTGACCCTCTGATCTAAATTTATATCTTTATCAAAAGCCTTTTCATCTACCAAAGTCTCAAGTAACCATTTCTCTTTTCCAGCTGGGTGCTAAAAGGACGAGTAGTGGCCGACGCAAGCAAAGCTGTCCTCTGAGGGCAAGCGAGATTAGGTTCCGTTATAAATTCAACGCTGACAATGAAATTGAAGGCGAAAACGCAGATGGGCGCAACAGTGATATTGGCAGTATGTCCGATGCCGGTGCAAGTTCAGATGCGGATAACCACCGATTTGATGATATGGGTGCTGCAAGATCTCTTTATATTGAAAATTCTTTGATGGGCAATGGTTCGGTTGATTCAGCAGATTGCATGGATATTCCCATTGAAACGGTATGGTTTTTTTTCTTAGTACTTAAATTAATCTTACTTTTATCTACAGTGGAAGAAAGTTTGATATAAAAAAACAGAAGGTATTTAAAAACTGTAGTATCTCCATGCGTTTTGCTGCTGTAAACATTTGTTGAGAACAATTAAAGGACAATTTGTTGACAGGAGGTAGGACCTTGATCATTCTCTTAAGAGAGAGCAAATATGCCTAAATTCAGAACAGCCCTTAAAGTTTTTAACGAAGACCCAGACATGAACTAGATACTTAAGCTTTTACCTTCATTTTCATAGTGATATACAAATAGATTCTAGAATCAACTCTTCTTTAAACAAGCGTCCATCAACATCAATCTTCAAAATCGTAAAAAATTCTGTAATAGGCCAGACAGCTCAAATCAAATCTGCCGCCAGTCGGGTTCCGTCCACTCTCCACTCACCAGAGCAGCGCCTCTGGTGGAGGGGGAGTGGACGACGCCTGATTGGTCGTACAGTCAGTTAGCCGAAGACCGTTTCCCGATCTAGAGAACATGTAAGTTCTTCCCAGTTTTCACCCCTTTGGGGTGATTGTTTAGCTTTTCCTTTCTTTCTCGTGATTCGTGATGTGACGGAGTGCGCGGGGGTGGCCGGCGGGCCACTTCGAAACCCTTAAACCCGTGACTTCATCTTTTCTTATTACCTTTTACCGTCCTCTCCGGTCGAGCCTCGGAGGCTCGATCCGGATGGCCTCCGAGGCCCGATCGGATTGCGATTCGTGCTGTTCCTTTTTGTTGTATGGATCCCCGAGCCATTACAATTCCTGTGCACGATTTCGTTTTTTATTGGTGTTGTTATTTTCATCATTTGCTGTCATCTTTTTTTGGAGATGACTTTGTCAATTATCCTCATCAATCATTGTAAGATGTATTTCAGGGGTGCAAAATCTGCCCAATTTTGCGATCCGCAAGGAAATTTTAGCCGAAAGTGAGGCCTAAAAATTTTTTTGGAAGGTGCACCGATGATTTATTGCAAAATAAGATCATCACTTTGATGTGCATGAAATGGCACTTTTTGCACCCCCGGGCTGTATCTCTGCCCCTGCATATAAGCCAGGTGGGGGGGGNGCCAGGGGGGGGGGGGGGAGCTAAAAACTACTAAAAAGTGACTACCTTTCTCTTTTTTTCTCTTTTCCTACTTTCGGTTTTTCATGTGCCTCAGATTTCCGTTATTTGTGTCACCTACCCACTTCAGTAATCAAATTTTTTTTCTCCAGGTTGCGGAAGAAGTCATCGGAGATGGTGAGGACAGGTCAGAAGAAGATCACCTTCAAAGCCGATTGATTGCTGCTGCTGCCCAATTGCCTTCACCGCGAAGTGACCTAGGAATGGACGAACACCTCGTGATTGATATGAATGGTGCAGTTATGGGCTCCCCGAGGGTTTACTCTGATGGTGAAGTCCTTCTCAGTGAGCGTGATATCGAAAGGGCAAATATTGAAAGAGCAAGAGCAATTGACATTTACAACGTAAGTTAAGGCCAACCAAAAAAAATCAATTTTTAGATAAGTGTTTCTTTAAACCCTTCAATTATTTTTACTCCTAAATCATTTAGATGGAACATTTACTCCGACTCCTATTCTTTCTATCTTTTACCCTTCAAATATTTTTGTGTCTGCCAATTTTTTTCTTAGTTTTGAAGTTCAGTTTCCCATTTTAATTTTTTAATTTTACTCTAGTTTTCTTTTTTTTCTCTCTTTTTTTTCTATTTTTTTTTATCTGAGGGAATAATTATATGAATTATAGTTTGATTATGCCTCAGAAAATCATCCCCCCCTGAATACCTCTGTGATTTTTAAAAGAAAGGCTAGCATGTAAAAACAGCTTTCATTTTCTAAAAGTCTTGTGAGGTTATCCTAGTAACTAATTCTGGTTATGTTCACTTACAGGTTCTGAATCAAGCTCGAAGACTTCCTGTTGGACCTGCAATCCCATCGCGGCGGCCACCTTTGTCGCGAGCCGCATCCTCCTCACCATCCCCATCGCCTTCTCCTGTTCCGCATAATGCTATGAGCCAGCTCTTGATAGCAGCTCAGTTGGCAGCAGGAGGAGAAGTATTCGACGCCCCAAGCTCCTCAAACCCACGCCGTGTGCAACCTTGGAGTGATAATCCACTTATTGGCAGGCCTGGTCCAAGTCACTTGGTATGTATCTCATAGTTATTCTTTAATCACAGATGAATTTCGGTCAGTTGATATGTTTTATGATGGTGCATCGTAGGAGCTGTGTAAAGAGTACTTGCAATAATGTATTTCAATTTACCTCGAAAAAATGACGAAACTTGTTTTACTGAAATTTACGTCACTTTAAAAGTAAACACTATCAAAGTAAAAATTCTTATCACATCACAAGTGAAGTGGTGGTGCTCGATTGAATTTTACCCTTTTCATTTTAATGAATATTTCTGTCAATTTTTGATGATTGGGGATCAATAATATCTGACATTTTCATGCTGAAAGTCGCATTCTTAGCCTAACTGCACAATGCACATGTCTTCCTTTTAAGAGTTAATGCAAAATGGCAGTTTTAATTTACATTGTACCCCTGATTTTACATTTTATTGCATCATATATTTGGAATCTACTGATGAACAATCACAAACCTATCTGAGTCTTTTCTCACTAACCAGTCTGAAAATTCTTGTGAAAAATACGTTTGTGATCACTGAATCAGTGCTTTCTAAGGAACAAGATAACAAAAAATTGTTTAATTGAATTTTTTGGCTCACATCATCTATGAATACAAATGAACATACTTGGTAATTTTGAACAGTTGACCTGATAAACGTGCCAAGATACTCAGAACCTTCCACATTTTCTCAATAAAGTGTATTTTTTTTCCCCTCATGTTCACTGCATTCTCTTTTGCTGAGTACTTGACTACTACACAGTTGTTCTTTTTTTAGTCAACATTTTTTAATTAATTTTTATTGTTTACCCCTTTTTACAGAACGTCGAGCAGGATTATCGTCCCCAGAACCTTAAAAAACATTCGCAGCGCCGGCAAAAATCTGCTGGCGTGCGAACATCAAGAGCTGCCGGTGGATCTCGCTTATCAACAGCAGCAAAAAGAAGTGACATAGCATGTTCAAACTGCGGAACCCAAACGACAACAATTTGGAGACGCAATCCTAAGGGTGAAATGGTTTGCAATGCTTGTGGTCTTTACTACAAACTCCACTTGGTCGATCGGCCGATCGCAATGCGCAGGGATCAGATCCACTCGCGGAGGCGGAGACCTCAGTCAGACCAAAATGACCAAGAGCAGAGCGAGCTCTCTGAAAACGAAAGCATGAAAATCGAGCCACCCTCCCCTGCCTTGCCCCAACCGCCGGCCCGGAGACGTAAGTCTGCTAAGATTTCTAAAAAGTTCCAGTCCAGTCCAGTTCTTAGTTCGCATCTGGAAGGACGCGGGTATCTATGCGACTCACCAGACGACCAGTCGGAGCGAGAGAGAATCAGAGGTATATGCTCAAAATTTTATGGCTTGAGTTCTTAGTAATGATTGTTTTGGTAATTTTGTTCCTGTTATTATTTTTTTCCTTCGAGTCTTATGATTTGTCATAGTCTTTGTAGCCTTACCTCTTCTTATCAGAGTATCCAAGTAGTGCACTGAATGAATAACATTTGGTCCAGTGTGACTGCCTTAAAATCTTTTAAGCAATTTCAAATTTTTATTTGTTCATGTTGAAAAACTGTTCAGCGATCAATTATTTTCTCAGTTCGGACAAAATGAGATGTTTTGTAAATATTTGGAAGCTTTTCACCTTCACAGGAGTTTCTTTTCTCTTTCACAAATTGTTCGTAAAATTTTAGGATTATACCCATCTTGTCTCTAAATTCTTTTTCCGAAGATTTTGCTTTTTGTACAAGGCTTTTCCTTGATGTTGCCTTTTTTAAAAAAATTTAAGTTTTTCTTAAGTTGTATCAGTAATTTGTCCTTATTTTGGACCTCTAGAAACTGGAACAAAAGTGGTGAATGCTTGTGAGACAACTATCGATTATGCTCTTTACCTATTTGAAGTCAATATTTGTACCACTACTGCATGATACATATTCTTTTACTTTAGTTAGTTAAGGTTTAAAACAGATAAGTGTTAAAGCCTAAATCTTCCCCGGACATAAGTCTTGGAATTCTGTTTTATTTCCATGAAATTCTATGCAGCTGTTATGTGAAAACAAACCAAAAAGTGTGATACAGTAGAAGCTGTTATTTTAAGTTCACTCGTGTAAAGCGGCCAAGTTTCATTCCAGAGCCTGTGACAATATTATGTGTTTCAGTGCAAAACAGTTTAGTGACTTCTTCAAATTTCTGTCAATTTTTTTTTTTTTTTTTTTTTTTTTGGTGTGTGTGATTTCAAAGACTCAATGAGCACTCAACTGCTGTCCTCTTGTTTTATCTGTGTGTGCTAGTTCTCTAGTTTGGTGTTCACATACTCTCAAATATCCATGTTTGTTATTTTTGGATTCCTTTGAGAAATGATCAGTCAGTTAAATAGTTAGCTCAAGCTACTTTTAGTTTTAAATATGGCACCTTCAGAATTTTGTGTTTTCTCTATTGCTTTTAAGTTTTACCCTGCAAGTTTGAAAATCAACTGTCCAAACAGTGAAATAAGTGCCTTCATTTTTTTATTTGTCCGAACGAGTAATAAAATATGTTTAAAGAATTTTGCAGGGCCAAAGTTTCATTTTCAGTTGCATGTTTTCTTTTATTGTTGCATGTAGCTGTGAGATGTTGTAAGAGTTATTTCTACCATTCTCAAAAGCACCTGTGCAAAGTAGGCAATTTCAAGCATGAATTTGAAGTTAAATCTTAATTACTGTAGCCACCTCCTGAAATAGTTACAGTAATGTTTTCGTAGTGTATGCAGGATCAGAATGTTACTTTCTTATTTTAAGGCATGAAGGAAACTTCTCCCTCCTTAGCTTTGAGAAATTCCTCAATATTGTTTGAAAGTTCCAAAACAAAGAATCAAAGAGAACCCCATGAGCTAAAGCACTTGGTGTTGTACCATATTTTCTTCAAAAGTCATCTGAAAAACAGTACTTTCAGATGCAAGTTCCACAACAATATCTAATTTTGTCCTTGACTTGCTAATTTATATCCGATCTATTGCTTGTAAACATACATAATAGTTGTTTTCACAGCACTCTTCGGGGCTTGTCCCCTGTCCTCTCATAGCCCCTCAGGGAGTAGCAGAGTCTATTGCTTTTATCCAAGTCTTAATTAATTCATCGGTGATAATTTGCAGCTGATAGTGTTTCAGCAAAGAATGAAATTCATATTTTGGTCGGCCGCATCCTTCTATCCTATTACTTTTGAAGGGGAAACACGGAATGTAGTGCTTTAGTTTAAACTTCGTTTACTGGTCATTCCGTAGGGGTGTCCAAAAATCTGCAGGATTGAGTTTAACTTATGCTTTTGTGCAGGCCAAGAAATTATCACGAATTTAGAGTTTAAACGTTCCTATAATTAGCGTGATTATTCTTATGTAATTTTGTCCCTTTTTGCTGATTTTCTTGGCCACATATCTGCAATTATCTACAAGTTAGATAGTATATAAAAATCAAATGTTCTGAAACACAAATGGGACACCATGAAGCAGAACCTAACCAAAGAGAACTTTATATAACAGTGCACAGTAGGTAAATAATGGTACTATGAAATTAGCGCATTTTTTAAAACCACCTTTGCTGATAGTGCTGTGCCTGAATGACACCTAATTGAGAGACAATTTGAAAGCTATAAAACATAATGAATTGCATCCCATACAACGACTGATAAACTCTGCCGAAGTCTCAGAGTTCAACCTAACTGTGAAATTGTGAAGTAATTTTAATCATGTAAAATCATTTCATTCTTTTAGGCATTGATTTTCTTCTTGAAGTCAATTTTAACTTGAAAGAAACATCTTATTTTTATCTTTCTGTGTCTGTCAATCCAACAGATTCTATGCAAAATGGAAATGAGGACACTGTACCAGTTCTACCCGACATGGCCATGCTATCAGCTATCCGCTCCCAGTTGACGCCTGAACTTTTAAGAGGTTCTCCAATCCTTAATACCCCTACCATCAAGAACTCAATTTCAATGTTAAAGCCACGCGGCGCGCCCTGATTGCCATCTTTTCCGGTAAAATAATTTATTTTTTCAATGTTGAGCATGTACTTAAATTGTATATTTTGTAAAGAGGAATTTTTTGTATAGTCATTTAAATTTTAACATCTTAATAACAAGAAGTTTCTGAAATGTAACTTTTTTTCTTTTTTTCAAAAAATTTCAGCTTCTCTAACAGTTTGTAGTTTTATGGTGTCTGTACGAAACTACAGATAATTCTGCTTACATCTAAACTGTAACTTTAAGATTATTGTTTAGTGATCATTAGTATTTTTTTACTTTTCTATAACCTTATATTGTTGTACAATTTGTTACTGATAATGTAATTAGGATCCATGTGTCTATTTATCACTTCAATGTCCTCTTTTTTTCTACTTGTGAAAAAAGTAAAAGAACCCTTTTTTCACCATTAAACCTCAAACTAGAGTGATTAAACTCACTTTGAAGAGTTTTTATCCCTCCAAATCACTAAAGTCTAAAAGCAATGACGTCTTAATATCTATTTATTTTTGCAGTTTTTCAATTGTTTCCGTAAATGGGTGACCTTGAGCAAATTCAGAAAATTGCTCCTTCGAAATCTTAATTCATTATTCCTCTTGAAAATACTGTTCCATCCCTCTAGAGGCGTATTACAAGTTTAATTTCAGCCAGAAGTAAGAACAAAACTTTGTGCTTGAATTTAACCAATGAATAGATTCATTTCCCTTCTCTGTTCTCTGATTTTGGTAACTAGTCACAAGATGATTTTCATCCTTTTTTTTCAAACGTAACTAGAACTGCTTGCAATCTAGCTGTTCAACTTGACTGGCAAAATTATAGCTTCAACTTTTTTTATAATGTATCAATAAACCTCAATTTTCCTAGTAATATTATTCCTGTTAGTCTAGTACTCTTACAACACCAATATTCATGAACATTTAATGTACGTCAATTCAGAAATGAGCATAAAAAAATGCGGCTTTTCTTAACCAGGTTTGGTCTAAATGACTCACGACATACCACTCTGTTTTTAAACTTTTCCTGGAAGAAGGGGGATGGTCAACAGAAAATTCATGTTTTTTGGTTTAACAGAGCATTCAAGCACAGTATAGCGCACTTTTCCTAATGTTCTTGCCCTCACACTCTGTGACAACATTTATTCTCTGCAACCTTAACTTTCTCCCGTAAACTTAGACACTCCTGGCAGAATCTACCCCCTCCCATTTGCGCACATTCCTACACAATTCTATCTCTCAAAACAATTGTGTGGTTTTAAAATTTGACAGTCGTTTGTAAAAGGGCAACAACGCTGCCCCCTGGCCCACCATCTCATCGAATCACATGATATGACAATGCAGAATTAAGCACTTATCTAAGTCTGTTATGCTGTACTTCAGTGCTCTCTCTTCAATCAAATATAAAACTGTGACCTTCTCTCTTTTCGTGTAATTTTAAAGTTTGCATTTGTTGATCTTGAAACTACACGATGGGAAAAATCCAGCCCCAGGAACAAATAATTGTTCAATGCCTGTTGAATTTGCAGTCTCCTTTTACTGACCTCGCAGAATCTTAAGTATTCAGAATTTATTTGGCTTTTTTAAGATTTAAGAATCAAGTCTCTCCCTTTGCTCTCTCTCTGACCATTTGTCTATTTGAAAAGGTCTCTAACCATTCGGATCGGTTGGCACCAGGTTCTAGAGACAGAAATATCCAGATAACAGGATTATGCAAAAAAGTATTGAAAAAATGGAAATACTTTAATTTTGGCTGAAAACGATTCTCATGGTTAAGTGAGGTTTTTCAACTCTATTACCTATGCACACAAGTAGAAAATACTTTATATGTCTTTTTTGTAGGTATGTCTTTATCTCATTTAGCTGCAAGTACTCCCCTGACAAACAGCTCCAAATTTTCATTTTTGACCTCATGAAAATGATTTTCAAAATATTGTTGAAAAACTTAAACAAAATTTGGAAAATAAAAATAAAGCAGCCATTTCAAGGAGTCTGCTTCTCATCTGTAGTGACAACTGATTTGTTAGTTTCGTAACTGAAGGGGAGGTTTTTCAATCATGTTTTAATTGTGCTCTGTTGGGTTTGTGGTTCTCAAGTCCTGCATTTATGCTATTTTGCTGCGGCATCAAATGATACTTGACAGCACTCAATTCCTCTCTGCGTTTTAAAACTAAGAAGAAGGCGTATTTAAGAAGGAAGAGGAAAAATTTATCATAAGCTCAGCACATAGAACTCTATGGTCATCCACTCATAAAACTTACACAATAATAAATACACAAGGGAACATAATAAAATCAATAAACTTACAGGGAAAAAGACCCCTATCCATATATAAACCTTCTCTCTCTTTAGAAGCTGATGAAGTGCATCAGTCAGATGAGAAAGGTAACGGAAAGTTTGAATATAGAATCAGGACCAGCTTTGACATAAAGCGGGCTTGTGAAGGACTCAAATCGCTCTAGAACATTATAAGGACAAACATCTAACTTAGGGATGTCCCATTTCCTCAGGTTCATTTTCAAACCTTACAATCGCTGAGTTGATCCGAATGGTTTGAGCTCAGCTAAAGACTTCTAATGCAGGGCTGAAACTTGAAGTATCTGATGAGCCGATTAAAAGTATCAAACTTTGTCAAAATATTCCTTTTATTTTTCTATGTCAAGAAAGAGCTGCTTACAGCTAACAGCTGGTTTGCTTTCAAATACTGTGAGAAATACTCATTAAATTCGAATTGCCTAATTGCACTTGGAAAGAAAAAGAGCGGAAAAATTAAACAGGAAAGCTCCTAGTATTGACCAAGGCAATTTTTGCAGGAGAAAATCAGTCAGATTTACTTCAGTTTCTCTCATGAGAATTATCCCATACTTGAAAAAATAATTTTTGGGAGTACCAATCTTGAGTTCACTCTTGCTCAATTTTTTAAACAGTTTTATCAGGTCACAATTTGTATTCCTCCTTAATTTGTAACACTTGCCACAGATGTCAAGTCTCCTTGATTTTTATGAATTTTCTGCAATACAGTGGAATAATCTCTGCTGTAAAAGCTAAATTTAGGTGTACTTTTTTTAAAATATTGCAGCTGTATCCTTTATAACCAAAATGAAAATACGAATTTCCTTATAGCGCTAAGAAAGACAGAGATTCTATTCTACGCCTTATTTTCTGCCGGTTCTAGTATTTTCAAAATCTTGCTATTGATTAGTTTGATTATTTTCATTTACTATGCTTGTATGTGTAAGTTTGTTAAGGTAACATGACCCAGGATATCTACAACTTGGAAGTCCCCTCTGAATTTTTTTAATCAGTCAAATGTGAGGAGTACTTCCAGGATTGACAAGAATAAATTTTGCTCTGAATGAAAAAAGTTTTGTCTTTGGAATTCTATTTTGCACGTGTTCTTTTCAAAACAATGCAAAACAAAATGCATTTATGAGTCTCGGACACCGATGGTGTCAAAATCATTCAGGCAACTAGTGGCATTTTCATCAGGATTTCTTTGGAATACTGTTTTCCTCTCTGAAGTTTTATTAAGGAGAACAAATCAGAGTCTGATGCCTGTTTTTGTCTTTTATTTAGATTTTTATTAAAATGATTAATTAAAAAATTAAATTAAACTACGCATAAATTTCTTGCATTAATTTGATGTTCTTGCGGGTTTGTAGATATCCTACTATGTGTAATTTCAATTAATTTTTTTATGGTAAATATTTATTTTTCTTTAGTTTTAAAACAGTATTTGTTTATCTGAATCCGTCCACCAAATTAAAATTATCATAAAACTTTGAATTGATTAGATTTAAAAATGATGAACTCTTTTAAGGAATTATTTTGGGTTTTTCTTTTTTGTTGGGTTTATTTTTATTTATTTATTCAATTTTTTTTTGGAAGAATATTATGGGTCAAATACAAAAATTAATTCATCAGGTATCGGCAAATTCTCAAGCGATCTTAAGACTTTTTCATTGCATTTTACCCCGTAATGGGCGTGGCAAATTTTTACTCAAACTCTCATCAATTCTTTCATTTCTCTTCCATCGACCTAGTGTACACTCACATACCAGTTCAAATAGTGCAATCTATGCACAAACCTATCTGAGGCATTTAATTTTTTTTTCCCTATCAAACTTGAATTTATAGAAAAGAAGAATGGAAAATGATAGCAGTTCTGACTGTACACATATGTACACATATAGTCTTATTCTTTGTGTTATGAGAAGATAGAATTCGTGCAAGGTGATTGCACCTAATAATGTAACACAAGCCTCTCTTTTTCTAAAATTTGGTTTTTATGGTCAATGTCGTGTGTATCTTCTTGTTTCCTCCCCTTTTCTTTCTTCTGAATGAGTACTACAACTGTCAACTGCTTATGGGGGGGGGGGGGGGTTGCATTTTCATAAAAAAAATAATGAACCTCCACTCGTTGACAGGGAGCTTCTAATGTCATCAGGATTCTCTGTTCAAGAATCGGAACCAGGATTTTAAAATTGATCAATTTTTCCTCAAAATAGGCTCCGTAAAGTTAACCGAAAGCACCAAATACTTGCTGATTTCTTAAAAACTATGCAGTCAAGACCTAAAACAGTGTTGTCTTATTTCCACCCTATTAATTGTAATCTATACCAAGCACTCATAAATAAATTCATTGTCTTTAATACCACTCATATTTTGACAGTCATGCTTAAAAATATTATGTAGTTCAATTTGAAAACTTTCTCTGTTCACAAAACTTTGCCACTTTATTGTCGGCGTGAAAATTCATAACTCTCTTCGGAGCTTCAGAGAGTGCTTCTCTTAAACTCAGGAATTAAGCTAGACGAAGCCCTCAGTTAATTGAGACTCCTCTGAATCTTGCATAATTATCAGTCATATTTCAGTCGTACTGAGTCAGAAGTTCAGTATACTTTAGTTTAGTAGTTTTTTCGAGCTCTCTAGCTAGCTGTTCCTGTTAGTGTTGTTTTCCTAATTTAGTAACCCCTGTGAATTTATAAAAACGCTTGTTCCTAGTTTATTTTTCACTATTTTCCTCAATTTTTTCGTAACTTTGCTATCTGCAAGCTTTTTTTCCCCACCAAGAAATCAGGGTTTTGTATTCCTCCTCATAATTTCTTTTTTTTTTTAAATTTCCTTTTTCCCTCTAATAACTATCTCTGTACCAGAGTTCTGATCTTTTATCTACAGAGTAATTAGGCTCTCCAAGTTAATCTTTTTTTCACTGTGTTTCAGCTTAAATTCAAATGACTGCTGCAAAAACAGCTTTTCCTTCAAAACTTTGTCCCCGATTAAAAGCATCCAATTATTTCTTGCTCTCCTTGGTCTTTTGGCCCTTTGCCAAGAGAAGTTTAGTGAACCAATCTTGCTTTCCAAAACCTTGAGATTCATTTTTGAGAAGAATTTTTTGGGTTTATAATGAATTTTCACCAATCAAACCACGGATTTTTATTCCATTCAGAAAACGAATTTACAATTATAATTCGTTAAAAATGAAGCTGAACTACATGTACATGTTACTACCTTGTTTAATTGTAATCTGTATTAAAGAGTAATCAACATTAGCATGAATTGGTAATTATGCTGCCACCTACGCTTTGGCTGATTTTGCAGTGGCTATTATTTATTCCTTCAAAGTATGATTTTATTGCATTCTATTTAAATTGTTCAACTTAGGGATTTAAGAATTATAAAATGAAATTTTCTTGCCTTTAACAATGAAAGATCACAGATAAATTGAATACGGAGATGTTTATGAGTCTTAATTACAGCTTAAAAGGTGATTTTTTAAGTACTCAAATGCAATAAAAATAGATAAATCAATACATGGAATTTCCCTGCTTGACTCAATGACCTCTGTAAATGTTTATAGCTTGTTCTCAGTTCACCTATTTCAACGTTGCAATGTTTTCCCTCTTTTTTTTTGTCAATGAGTAATCCTTTTAAATGAAAAACTTTGTATCAGTTCTGTCAGGAATGAGTTAATCGACTTGGCTGCTTAACAGCTGTGTTTCACTTGAAGGTAGGAAGTGATTACCATGTTTCAAATGTCTTTTCTTAAAAATCATTGTAATGAAAAGATTCCTATTATACGCCATCAAAATGTCTAAACGTAAGTTTTTTTTAATCCCATTAAGTTTAGATGAATAGTTATCTTGAGTTCAACTTTTTTTCTTCACACTAACAAAATTTTCATCGAAGTTTACTCCAAAAGAGGTTTGAGCTGATGCTGCTGTGTGAAGCTCTATTTGCTTATTTTTGAAATGAAAATTCTCTTTTGAAGTGTTAATAGCAACGATCAAAATATGTCTTCCTTTTAAAATATCGAACAAATTGCCACAAATCTCTAAATGCCAGTATTTTAAAGTACTCCTGACAAAAATTAAATTCTTCATTGTGGTAGTCATTTTCAGAATCAATTTATCTACAGAAAAATTGATTGTTTGTCCATTTAGTGATAAGAACGATGAATCTTGTTTCAAAGTCTTTAGAATATAAGCTTGATGAGTAATTTAATCAATATTTTGGTAGTCAGTTTACCAAAGACGCCGAGATGGTTTCATCTGAAAATACAGTCTTATAATAATTTCTTAATATGTTCTAATTGAATTGATGCAAAAACAATCGAATCTTAGGTGGCAAACAGGTAAGGATCATTGTTATGAAGGCTTGAGATGTTTTTTTCACATAATTCAATTAAAGGTAAAGAAAGCACTCTACAGCCTTGAGGTTTTTCTCAAATTTTTCTTCTGGTTTGGAGGAAGAGAAGCTAGTCTGAATTAACCAACTCGCTAATTTTTATTTCATCCATCAATTAGTTTAGCTTCACTCGGTATGGTCCTTACTTGCACTAATTCTTTTTGCATCAATTCAAACTTTTAGCAGCTTCATTTGATTGAACGTTCTCTTGATCAGAAACTTGAAACGCAGCATGAGTGTACTCTCATCCTGTGAGCTAATTATAATTTTTGTACTTTTCTATTCATCATCAAAGTTAACTTTTAAGATTTATCATGAATAATAAAAAAGGATATTACTCCGTTCCCTATATCGCCTTTGCTAATTTGTTTCTTCTTGTCTTCAAAAGTGTTATCCAACCTGTGAACTGTTCTCAGCAAACGTATTCAATGCAATCATGAGTAACTCGTAGAATTGATTTTTAGTAATGAAAGTGAAAAAAATAGAAGGCGAGGTTCTATGCTTTGATCATTTTTCCTCTCCAATCGGCTGCCAATATTTTTTTGAGCTAGCACTGTCTTGCTTTTGCTAAGTTCTTGCCCATCAAAACAAAAAGTTAATAATTTTTCACCTTTCTCCTTAAATATCGCCGTAGTGTTTCTATTTCTAATAGCTATTTTTATTAAGCCACATTTTTCATAAAATATTAAGGGCCAAAATGTTTTCCTCTCTTTTGCAAGCACCACATCTCCATTGATAGGCGCATTATATAGGCTCCATTATATTTTTCAAGAGGCGCAATGATCAAGATAAAAATTTTGCCAAAAATTTTAACTTTCACTCGTGCTCCATCTTGTATCTGCATTGATTTTTGTCTGGTTCTATAGTTTTGTGACTGTAGTTCCTTAGTACTGAGAGACCAGCATCAGTTCTTAACCCATCACTACAACTTAAAATCATGCTTTGACTTTGATTCTCCATTCATTTTCTATGCTCCTCCTAAAGCTGTGCGTCAGCTAAACTTTTTAAATAGTTTGCCCACTCACCTTTTAAAATATAACTGAGGAAGTTATGAATTTCGCCTGAAAAGGTTGATTTCTGTCATTTCTCAGAAGAATTGTGACAATTCTCGGACAATCAGCTGCTAATACTACTCTGCCGGCAATACTCCTCAGGTTTTCCCCTGTCATTTGGTTTGATCCATTTATCTGTGCTATTCTGACTACTTTTGTCCTTCTTTTCATGCTATCATACTATCAATTTTATTTTAACTTGTACTTATTCTCATTATTGTATTTAAATTAAGCGATAGGTCAAAGTACTTAACATGGGTCAAGGCAAAGGACCCAAGAAACTTTTGCAAATTGTTTTCCTCAATGACATGGACTGCATTTCACTCTCACTCCAACAGCTGGATCCTCATAAATGTTAAAGGTTACAATTTAAAAGCATTTCTTGGTTTTGTGTCTGAAGTAATTGCAAATCTGAAGGCATCACATTTTAATGAAGAATTTTGTAAATATTCCAAGGAGCAAGTAGATAAACTGTATTTTCTGAAATAGATCCAAAAGAGTGTGCTGATTTATCTTCACCTATGTAGTAAAGTTAACATTACTGGTAAATGACTTCTTACATTTTAACACTTCACTGCAACCCTTCATTTTTGTCCCTTTTTTCCATGAGACGCAAGACTCATGAGGCTCATAGTTTGACTGTGTGATGTATTGTCTTTTACTAGAAGGACTCCATTTTGCACACTAAGAAAATCTTCTTTTATGCATCAAATTATGTTTTTGTAGCTTTTTAATTCCTCTCTGTATTTAAATTGCATTTAGTCTGTGAGGGAAGTATCTCAACAATTTTCTTGAAGTTTGGATAACACTTTATGGTAGATAAGTTAACACCAGTTCATATAATGCTACAGGTGTTTGAACTGATGGAATTCCTGATTAACAGGAAAACAAATTCAGAACTCTCTAACTGTTGGCTGTAGCACTCCTTTCAGATTTTATACAGATTCATCTTAAATATTTTGAAAATTTAGAGGACCCTCCAGAATGTGAACTTGCATTTTCCCTTTACTGACACCATCACTATAAATTTCTTGAACTCTGGAAAAGACCACTTTTTGCTATATCCCAGAGGGTCCATAGGTAAAAATAGCTGGGCAATATTTGGCTTGAACTATCGATTTACTTCACTTTTTAACTCAGGTTCTCCGTATTTTCATTCATGTTCTTACAAAAGTGGTAAGGATTTGCAGTCTACTTATCTAGTGGTAATTCCTGCGCAGGTGAATGCTTCAATGCTAGTGTTGGTGAGGCAAAATGTATCCATTATTTGTCCACCATTTTCATACTTTTTTTTTAAAGCTCACCATGACATTGAGACTATTCTCACCAGTCTTTTCTGAACAGCACTGAAAAGAAATACTGGAAATTAGGATTGTCATCTTTATCTTGTGTTGCCATATTTTGCTTTCCTGATTTTAACTATTTGTGATATTTGGACGTTATAAAAAAGTTTGTCAGCAATGAAATGATAATATCAACACAAACAATATTGTAGCCTGATGGCACCCTTTGAGAGCAAGGTCTGTCTCAATTTATGGTGAGGATTATAGGTTGATTTAGGCGAAGCTTCTTGTTTTTTCATTTAAAAATGAATCATGTTTCCTTGTTTGTGGTGACGAATTTCCAGTTTGGTCCTGCTCTTGTCTGAATTTCACCTGTCCATCTTCTTTTCTGTCTGCCTCCCTTTTTTATGGCTTGGAACCCAGTTTGTTAGCTTAGTCAATAAGCTTAGTCCATCAATTCTTTTTCGTCATGACCATGTTGCTTCCTCATTTCCATTTCAATTCAGTTGTATCGCTTTGAACAATGCTAGTGTTCTTCTGCATTCTCACTCTCTAGGACTTCTTATTTTTTAATTCGTAATCATGTCCATTCTTTCGACTTTGCAAATACGTTTCAGTGTGTGCATTTACGTAGTATCAAGTTTACCGTATTATGCATTGTTGAGTGACCATGTTTGACTTCCATTTAATAGTAATGGTAGAGGACATCTCTCTACCCCTCCATCTTTCTGTTTGATACTCATTGAACCTTTTAAAAAAATTTTAACCACCAGAATTAATTCCATGTTTGTTTCACTCTTCTTTCAATTTTCTTCAAAACTGTATCTTTGAAGGATACTAATTGTCCACATTTTGTGAATTCTTCAATGTACTCAAAGGATTTGCATTTACCACCATCAACATATGAAATGATACTGCCTGTCTCATATTTTTGGAAAAATTAATGAATCAGAAATAAACTCAAACACGTTGATTTTTTAAGCGTAACAGGACTCTTCGCAGTTAGAAAACAGGAAATTTGATTGTAGGGATAACTACAATAAACTTGAGAATTTTTGAGGAAATGTTAGGGATTTTGAACGTAGGAAACTGAAAGTATTGACTGGAAGAAATTAAACTTTGGGTTGCTTAAATGATTTTATCGCTGCATCAAGTCTTTCCTATTTTTGTGCTAGCATGAGGAAAAGTCAGAGAAGTTAAAAAATACTCCCAACCCCATCATGAGTTGCTACGGTAAAATATGGTAAGGAAAAGAAGTAATATCCAAAAGCAAAAAATTTATCTGTAGTCAGTAAGTTTTAAAAACTTTGCTTTGATTTTAAACTGCCTTTAATAAAGTATGGAATCCTTTCAAATTGTATCCTTACTTTTCTGTTAAATACTCTTTCTGTCGGATAGATGCATTGTTCCCCATCTGAAGAGTGGTGTATCTCTCATATTGAAATAATCCAGAAAAATGCACTCAGATTTAATTAACATTTACTCATTATCATCATCATGTGTATTAGGGTTTCTACTCACCTCTCCATGCTCTGTATTTCTCTGTAAGTTCGTACCAATTTTTTCGGTGATTTTACTCTAATTTTTTTTTTTTTACACCACTATTCATTTTGCAAGGTATGCAAGTAATTGGTAGTGGCAAATTACTGAAAGCTTATCAAGAGCCTTCTCTAAGTATTTGAAATGAAGAGTGAAAAAAAAATGAACGGCTAAGGCCAAAGGTTGTTGATTGGAAAGTAAAAAGCTGTGATTCTCTATGAGGTTTTTCACCGAAACATTCTGCATAATGTCCCAATTGCCCAATGTCAGACAACTTAGCTGGCAGGTTACAACACCTAGGCTGTCAACTCATTAGGATTTTTTTTTTTTAAATAAGGTATTACATATTCTTTCCTCTTAATTTTGATTGGCAAAGTTTGATTGATCATTCTAATTGTGGAAATCAAGCTGTAGTAATGAACACTAATGAAGTGGATGTAAATGACTATCCATAATTTTGCATTGTGAAAAAAAAATTCTAGTCTTCCAGAGTGTACTTCACTTTTTTTCCAGCTGTAAGCTATTAACATTGAATGTGGAAAAATTAGTGTATGCATTCTCTGAGACCTGTTTGTATATCATGCATCACTTGAATAAGTAGTTTTCTTATTATGATACATTCCTGTCTGCAGTAAAGTACATTCAAATCCAGCAAACAAGGTTTTATAAGTCAAAAAAGTAAGGGGGAAAAAATTAAATGGACCCAACAGCTAAAAGTTTCAGAAATTGCTGCTCAGAAGTGCTCTGTGGAATGATCAATTTTCAAAATAGAAAAATTTAGAGAAGTTTCTATTACCTCGATGGGCTCTTCAGTTTTTAAGTAGTCTCTGTAATTAGTACCAAAATGAATGGAATATTCCTCTTTAATATTACATACTTCAGGCTATTAAAATATCCGGATTTTCAGGAAACTATTACATATATGTACAGTTTCATATTGTATTCAATGAAATTTTCTCCTTGGAAACAGGTTGAAAAGTCCAAGTGTGAAAGAAATGGCCATCTTTCGAGTAAGCTTTCAAATGTATAATGGAATTTCTTCCTTGTGCTCAACCTAACATTCTCAGTTAATTTTTTTGACTGAGAAATTTCTGGATCTCGCCAAGTGGGGATGTTTAGGTACTTATTTACTCTACAGAAACGAAGATAGATGGTATGTATAAATGAGATAAAATGTATCCCAAGTATGAAAAAAAAGAAGTAAAAATGGGAATGAAGACAATTTTACTGTTCATTCAGGTGTTAATTATTGTCTAGGTGTGATATTAAGCAATATTTATTTTGAATTATTTCTGTTCATAAAATAATTGTATATTTTTTTATATGTTTTAGATATAGGAGGAAATTACTGTGAACATATTTTGTATGATATTAGTTTTTATTTTGTTAGATTAACAATTTATTCTGTTACATCTTCGTTAGCTTTCGTTTCTTTAACTTAAAAGTGTTCTTATCTATCGAAGGTATCTTGCCTTGGAAATTTTGTATCTTTCTCTTTAAGTTTATCCTTTTCTTTAAGTTGTAATAATCCTTTCATAAAATCACTATTAATTTTATTTGATCCTCCCAATTAAGGAATAGAAAAGTTCTTACTGTAAGGTTTTCTTCTAATTATTTCTAATTTATTTGTTTTAGCTTCCTGGTATTATTTTAATATTTTTTTAAAATAAATTGTTCTGTCAGAATACAAATTTTGGTCGGATTTTTCTTTTTCTTCCGTTTCCTTTTTAACCACTCCAAAATATGGTCCAACTGGTTTACCGTACGTTTTTTACTGCTGTTTTGGAAGAAGTAAGCAAACAGGGCATACCTGCATGTTTCACTGAAGGACTGTAACGTACATTTATCCACTCATCTGCAAAGCAACATTGTTTTAATAATCCTACAATATCTCCTAAAACCCTAACAAAATTGAAAAGGATATTTCATGAACATCGAAAAAAATTTTCTCGGCAATTCAGAATTCGGAAATTTCGAAATTGCAATCGAAAGAGCTTGAAACAGCGACGGGAAAAGGGAAAGATCGTAGTATTTCATCGGAAATACCAATTTTTGGCCATTTCAAGGGAAACGGGTGACCATCCGATTTTGCGGTTTTCTTTTTTCGGTTCAGTATACCTTGTACCAACAAGTTATATAAATATTCAAGCGTTATTCAGGTCGAAAAATATAAATTTTTCAGGGCAGACTATGAAAAATCAGTATCTGAAAGTCGGTGAGAACGAAAACACACCAACTCGGAAATTTTTAAACGCTTAATTCTCTGTCATCAAACATGGTGTATCGATTTCAACTTGGTGCTTTACCAAGCCTCTAAGTACTTGTCCTTTGGCACCAAAAAGGTTTTTCTTAAACTAACTTCTTCGCCCGCTGCGCAGTTTTAGATGTTTCCTGAACAATTTTTTTTCCCCGAGTTGGTGTGTTTTCGAACTCTTTGATTCAATTGCTGCAGACGCACCAGAAGGCAAATTGTTCAGTTTAAAAAAAAAAAAAAAGGATTATGATAGGTAGTCCATATGTATGCGATCGACATGAATCGAACGAAAAATAAAAACGTGAACCGATCAACACCGATTCAATGGACACATAAATAAAAAAGCGGATCAAAATCAGCAGAATACTTGCATTTACTATGAAAATTTCGAATTGCGATATCTCAAAATTAGGATCATCCAAGGTTTTAATTTTTCGAGATTTTAAGTCCACACGTACTGCACTATAGACTCATCCCATGCAACCCGTTTTTGGCAAATTTTTGTCTCATTTATTGTTTTTTCGCCTCAAGACGACTGTGCAGTGGCATAATCATGAAATCGCGCTCTTACTTGGAACACACTCAAAAATGAACTATTCACAAAATGGGTGAAATGACTTGAAAACGAACGTATCTGAGAGATAATTGGCGTTGAAGAGACAATGTTGCACGATACCATGACCAAGCAGTTGATATTTTACGGGCATGTGTCAACCGTCGTGGGAGACGGGAATGCGGGTGAGCAAGGAGTGAAAAAACGAGACGCGAGATCTAACTTTGAAGCGTAGATTTCATGAGAGAAAAAAAGAGACAAACGTACCCAACAAGTATATGTAGGACCACAACCGAGTCGCCAACAAAAAGAAAAGAAGAACGAACGAAGCGACAGCATCGACTGAGCACAGGAGAGAATTTCATGAGCGCCGCCGCCCGTGGCGCACTATGGTCAAGAACTCAAGACTTGGAAGAAATAAGTCGGATATGACTGAAAGATCACGAAAGTTTCGTGACTGATGTTTTTTGAGTCGCTAATTTCGAATTTGATGTCGAACTGCCTACATTTTAACACCATTACCTATTAATTGTAGGTAAGTTTATGGCACGTTGCGGCGCGGCGCGGCGCGGCGCGGCGAGCTGCCGCTGCCAGCTCGGAATGCACACTGACGCCTACAAACCTAAAGGGATACTTCTAGCATTGCGCAATGCGTGAAGTATCCCCTTAGGTTTGTAGGCGTCAGTGCGCGGCGGCGCGTTTCGCGCTGGCAGTACGCATAGAGTACATAGAGTCGTAATGTAAATGGGAGATAGCTGGCGCCATGTTCTGCTCGATTAATTCCGAGCCCGGTGTGCGCCGAGTTCGGGTCGCTTTTTCGATACATTTTCGATCCAAAATGGCGGTGTGGAATACGTGGTAATTCCTATCTCCTTTGTTGTTGTTGTTGTTGGTATCGAAAAAGTGACCCGGCGTCACACAGGAGTCTCGGAATTCGGGACATGGAAAATGCTTAAAAGTGGCGCCAGCTCTCCCAATTACATTACGACTCTATGTACTCTATGGCAGTACGCCGCGGCGCTCGGCTCCCGACGCGAGCAGGTGGTGAACGATTCCGCGGGGGGGGGGGGGGGGGGGT